ACAGTGCAAGAAGCTGGATTTACTGGGAGTGAATACACTGGTTTATTGCAAGTTATTGATAATTTTTACAATGGTTGGGACTGGGCTGTTCTTATAGCGATCAGTTCGTGCACGTATGGGCTGGACGCGGTTGTGGTGTCGAACAGCAATTCTCGGGCTAGGGATCTCAGGTGGTAGTAGGAGCCGGTGTCGAGGATGGTGCAGAAGCTTCTCACCAAATTTGCAAATGAGGTCGTGGTGATGGTCAGTGAGAGTCGAAAGGGTCAGTGTGTTGAGCGCTTCTTGATACGTGGAGTAGGAAAAGGAGTGAATAATCTTGCATGCCCTCTTTTGCACTTTTTCTAGGTGTTTACGTTGTGTAGCATTTAGGGAGGAAGACCAGGTAGGGGAGGCATAGGTGAGCTTGGGAAGTATGAATGTTGAGTAAATACTGAGGAGCTCGGGTACAGGAACTCTGAGGGACTTGAGTCGGCGGAGGAGGTGGAGACGGAAACTGGAGGATTTGACAACTTCACTGACGTGTGGTTTCCAATTTAGTTTGTTGGCTATGGTGACGCCGAGGAGCTTAGTGGAATCTACAACCTGGAGTGTGTTGGGACCTAAAGTAATGGAAGGGGGTGGGACAATGTCGGAGGAGAGGTTGATGTGCAATTGTGCATAACCATGGTCTTGGTATGGTTGATGGTGACGTGGTTGTTGGTGGCCCAGTTTTGGAGATTGTTATGCTATATATCCTGTCGTCCTTGTCATGCTGTATATCTTGTCGTCCTTCTCATGCTGCATATATGTCGTCCTTATCAAGCTCTATATCCTGTTGTCCATATGCGGCATATCTGTCGTCCTTGTCATGCTGTATATCCTGTGGAAACAGTCTTTTGTTACACCCTGTATGAGGTTTGATCAACTTGACATTCAACGATCTCTGATTATCTCTTCATTTCAATCTCTTCAAGAGCTCAGCTCCCTTAGTTATTCCAGTTGGTTACTCAGACACCTTTGATAACCCATTCTACGGGTCGTAACTTAGCATACCAGTTTAAGTAAGTCAGTCAGATAGAAACTCGTGTTTTAACGCAGGGGGAACCTAATATGTTTATGTTTGAGAATAAGAGCTGTAACGCACCATTTGCGTGTATCAACATGTACAGTAATGATCTGTCGGCTGCTACTGCTGCTGTGAATATATCAAATAAACGTCGCTCTAATGATCCTTCAAGTGACGCTTAAGAGAGCGACCATAAGGAAAAAATACTTATGGGGAGAGAGATAATAATCCTTTTTCTATTACAGACCGAGAAGAGTAGAACAAAGGCATAATACATACTATATCTTATTCTTTTGTGATATACAAATTCATTTTACATGGCAGAACATGATCGAACCCACATTCGATTATCACATGAGAGGTAAACTTGAAATTCATTAATCTCTGGTACAATTTCAACATAATCTGATTATCCCTACGAGTTTTACCGCCTTGATTGTGCCAGATGACCTGATAGGATCATTCAGAGGGGAATTCTGTATTCGTCCTGTTATCAGATGTGACAATAGCCTGTAGAATCCGTGGTAGGAAATCTTGTATCATCCTGTATTTCTCTTATAATCAGCTTTTGTAATTAGAATTATTGGTCCTTTGGTATTTATCGTGTTTATTTGAATGAAAAATAAGAGTTCGTTTTTATAATCCAGAAATAACACAACAGCTAAAGCTTCAGATACAAGCACAGGTAAATAGATTTGAGGATGATAGCAATGCAATACTGTTACCCAGAACCAATTAATTTATTGTGTATAGAAAATAATGACTCATTTATCTCATAAAAATAAAATTACGCACTAATCTATATCTATATTTGTTCGTCGGTTCGCTCTCCACATATACAGTTTTGAAGATAGAGCGTTGAAATTTGGAGTGGGAATGTGCATGCACCTCAGGAGTGTCCAGAGGGAGGTGGAAGGGGGGGGGGAGGGGTTAGGGGGGTGCTAGGATTCCAAATAGTACAATATCATATTCCTCACCGTCAACACCCCTTGCCGACAAGCCAGACGTAGGAAAACCCCATTAGGGCGGAGTATACTCTAAACATCAGCTGGCCATCTCTCAGAGTTGCCTGCTGACTGATGACGTCAAACACTATATTGTAGACAAGTGATCGTGGGCCCTTCGTGCCCGGTGGCGAGTCCGGTGGTACAGTTTACCGAGGCGTGAAAGTTCGAACGCTCGTGCTTGGCTAGTGAGCAACTGCCGTCCGGCTGACAGCATACAGCGACATCGTTTTCCAGCGTAAATAAAATGGTTAATTAATGCCTTCCTAAGGAAACCATCGACATGGGAAATGGTTTGTTCCACTCTACGAATTTTTTTGCGATTTTTCCACCAAGTTTGATGAAAAACGATTGTGCTGTTTCGGCTGCCCAGAACAGACACACACACACACAGACACACGGCTATTCCTATAGTATATTAGATGACATTTTTTAACAAGGCTGATTTTCTTTTTTTTAGGGGGTTAAGAAGAGGTTAAGTGATATAGTTATTTGAGGGATTATACTGATTATTCATTGTATTATTTAGCATAGTGGTGGGTGATACATAGTGGTGGGTGATACATAGTGGTGGGTGATACATAGTGGTGGGTGATGCATAGTGGTGGGTGATACATAGTGGTGGGTGATGTATAGTGGTGGGTGATACACAGTGGTGGGTGATACATAGTGGTGGGTGATACATAGTGGTGGGTGATATATAGTGATTGGGTGATACAGTGGGTGATGTATAGTGGTGGGTGATACACAGTGGTGGGTGATACATAGTGGTGGGTGATACATAGTGGTGGGTGATATATAGTGGTGGGTGATACATAGTGGTGGGTGATACATAGTGGTGGATGTATAGTGGTGGGTGATACAGTGGTGGGTGATACATAGTGGTGGGTGATACATAGTGGTGGGTGATATAGTGGTGGGTGATACATAGTGGTGGGTGATACATAGTGGTGGGTGATATATAGTGGTGGGTGATACACAGTGGTGGGTGATACACAGTGGTGGGTGATACATAGTGGTGGGTGATATATAGTGGTGGGTGATACATAGTGGTGGGTGATACCTAGTGGTGGGTGATGTATAAAATACCAAAGAATACATCATCGTTATTTGATACATTATATACTGTATGTAGTAACCAATATATAAACAACCTAATTTATATGTTGACGCTCTATATAATATGATGACCAATTGAAATGTCATACAAAACTGTAACAATATATTGCATTTATTTAATATAAATTAAACTCATAATACAAATGATTGCATGGAATTATCAATAGGAAAAGTAATGTAACTCTCTGACCCATATACTGTACATTGGTAAAAATATTTATATAAACAACCTAAATTAACATAGACTTAATATAAACATAATCTAATTAACTGCACCACTTTTGACACATTTGATCTGACTAATATTATGTGAAGTAAAATAACTCCTAGTATCGCCCCATCTTGGTCCATGCATTACATGTTAAATTAAGGCTGATAAAGGTTGACGTCTCTGAACATTAATGACTTAGGGAGAAGATTTCGTTGTAATTTAGATGTATTTTAATCTTATGCATGTGGTGGACTATAACCTTACCTTATGAAAACATTTGCGGATTATGAGGAACCTAACCTAACTTAACCTAACTTTACCTAACTTAACCTAACCTAACGTAGCGTAACCTAATCTAACCAAACTAAACTTACCCTAACTTTACCTAACTTAACCTAACCTAACATAAGCTAACCCAACTTGCCCCAACTTAACTCTAATTAACCTAACCTAACCTAACCTAACCTAACCTAACTATAATCAACTAAACTAAACTTACCATGACTTTACCTAAGTTAACCTAACCTACCTTGCCCCGATTTAACTCTAATTAACCTAACTTACCCCAACATAAATTAAATTAACCTAACCTACCCTAACTTTATCTAACTTAACCTTAGCTGACTTACTCCATCCTAACTTTGCCTAATTTAATTTGCCCCAGCTAATTTACCCACCATAGCCACAGAAAACGGGAATCTGGACAACAACAGTGTGGTGTGAGTAAGTCCTGGTTTTTCAGAGTTATTTTGAGAGTATTTGTACACAAAGGGAGTCAGTGCTGAGGTAAAGAGGTAAAAGGACTCCAGAACTGGTTGGAAGCTGTTGGACTATGGTGGGGTTTTGGACTTGACTGTATTTAGCAGATAAATATCGCTGGCCCACCACTCCTGGCCGGGGTGTGCCACCTATAGGGAAAATCGCTAGTTAGCTGACGTCATTCTGGGTATGGACGGTGCTGCCACAACATGGCGCTTCGATTGTACAAAAATCCCCACCAGAGATATACCGAAAGACACTTTCGACCTGATGGCGACCTTCTCAACAGAGGTGAATGAGAATGAAGTTAACACTACTAAGACTACTGAAGATACTGTAGAGACAAAAACGGAGACACAAGGTGCTAAACAGGCCTAAGTCCCTGTCTAGTGGAGTAATAAGCAATGAAACCCTTGAAGACTGGCATACCCTGGGTCCACCACGTAAGTTTCCAATCACACGACGCAAGACATCACCACAGTACAGCTCATGTAACAACAGCACACGTCCTGCTTGGCAAATAGGTCAACCTTGTTTACCCAGGAAACCTCTTAATGAACACCAAACTTACTGAAATCCGTCGCACCTATATGCTGGACCCGACACTGGGCAAAGTCAAGGCCTCATCACCGCAGTCTCGGGCTGTCTACATAGCTAGAAACTGAAGCTACCTGAATACCTGGTGACTCGCTCTCCTGCACACTCATGAGGTGGGAGTTCCACTGCCTTATTCCTTACACACACTAGCAGTCATCTTTGACTAAAACTTAATCCCAAACAAAGGTAACCGAAAAGACGACAATGTAACAATATTATAAGGTTAAGCACTTACTTTAATTAGTCTTTGTACGGTTCCTTACAGTTCCTCCTGGCCCACCCACGATCTTGTGGGGTGGGAGCGGGGTGGTGAGCGTCGTCGGTCCATTGGGTGAAGGCGAGAGGGTGGAGCTCGCCTGTCGCAGTGGGCGGTCGACCTCCTCCTATACTCACCTGGATGAGACGAGGGCAGCGTATACCCCCCATCAGCTACAACTCCACCGCTCAGGCTGACAGAGGTAGCGTTTGTCCTGACAAGTTCTGCCTGTCGTTCGTGTTTTCTGTCTCTTTCCCTGTCTGACTATTTGTCTGTATGTCTCCGTCTCTTTCCATTTGTCTATCTCTCCTTCTGTGTGTCTCTGCGTCAAATAGCCACAGGCTGCGACGCCAGATATTTAACCCAATCAATCAGTCAATCTTTAATAATAATAATAATAATAAAATAATAATAATATGATAATAATAATAATAATAATAATAATAATTAACGGTTTATTGAAAGGTTATGGCAGCCGGAAAGCTGAAAATATACAGTTACATATCAGAATGGGTCTCTTGATTTCCAAATAACATACAAGTAAATATAAGTGATACAAATATGATATATAATAACTAGTGGGGAGAAGCTCAAACTACAGGGCATTTAAATAGTGACAGTGCAAAAAAGTAAGATTGACTGGGAGTGAATACACTGGTTGATTACAAGTTATTGATAATTTTTCAATAGTTGGAACTGGCTGTTCTTATAGCGATCAGTTCGTGCTCGTATGGGTTGATGTTGTTGTGGTTTCGAACAGCAGTTCTCGGGCGAGGGATCACAGGTGGTAGTAGGAGCGTGTCGAGGATGCAGAAGCTTACCAAATTTGCAGAGATGAGGTCGTGGTGATGGTCAGTGAGAGTCGAAAGGGTCAGTGTTGAGCGCTTCTTGATATGTGGGAGTAGGAAGGGAGAGAATAATCTTACGCCCCTCTTTTCTGCACTTTTTTCTAGGTGTTTACGTTGTGTGGCATTTAGGAGTGAAGACCAGGTAGGGGAGGCATAGGTGGGCTTGGGAAGTATGAAGGTTGAGTAAACACTGAGGAGCTTCGAAGCAGGGAACTCCGAGGGACTTGAGTTTGGCGGAGGAGGTGTGGAGACGGAAACCGGAGGATTTGACAATCACCGACGTGTGGTTTCCAATTTAGCTTGTTGTCTGCGGTGACGCCGAAGAGCTTAGTGAATCTATAACCTGGAGTGTAAGCTGGGACCCCAAAGGATGGCGAGGGGTGGGACAACGGAGGAGAGGTTGATGTGCACCATTACCCATGGTCTTGGTATGGCTGATGGTGACGCGGTTGTTGGTGGCAAAATTCTTGAGACTGGTTCATTAAATCCTGAAGGGCGGTATAGTCGGGAGCAGAATTGTTGACGCTGATCCCAATGATGGAGTCGTCGACATATTTCCAGTGAGCAAGGGTTTCTTAGGGCATCATTGATAAGCATAAGGAAGCATAGTGGTCCCATCTGCGCCTTTGGGGACGCCACAGAGTTACTGAAAGGTGGAGACAGCCCCTCGGAAGTTGCATAGCCTGGCAGCGTCGTTATTGAGGAAGTCTTGTAAGCCATGGTATAAGACTTCTTCGAAACTCGAGGTCGATAGCTTTGTTGATGATTAAATTGTGGTCGACTAGGTCGAATGCCTTAGTGAAGTCAATGAAGGCGACAGCTGGCAGAAGTTTTTCGTTTCTCCAGAGGGAGGTATATGTAGTCGAGAAAGCTGACAAGACAGTGAGTGGTGGAGGACGTTTTCATATTACCAAATTGCTGAGGATCTACGGCTCCTGCAATATCAGCATAAGCCCAGAAAAACACAAAACTTTCACAGATTAAGCTGAGTATTGGGGGTGAATGCAATAACAGAGCTGTGATTTGGGTTTAGCTGTTGACTTGGGCACTGGTGTCACATAAGAGGTCTTCCAGTCAGCTGGGCATCTGGCTTGACTGAGAGAAGCATTGATGATGGAGCAGAGGGTTTAGCAAGCTCCGGGGAGTAGAACCTGAAGAGTCACTGGGGGTGGTGGAGCGTTTTAACTTCAGTTTGTCCAGACGTTCTGCTACTTCAAATTCTTCTACTAAGTCAGTGGAAAGGGGCTGGTAGGTAAGTAGGGGATTGGTTGTGTCGAGCTGGGGGAGCGTCTGGCATAGTAGCGAAATGTTATTTGATTGCTCAGCTTGCGCCGTAACATTAGTGAGATGGCTATGAAGGATGATGTGTGTCTTATTGTTTAGTCAATTAGAGTTCTTGCTTTTACCATACCACTGACTGATATTGGTCTGCTTCAGGTGTTGCACTTGCAGGGTAGTGAGACTTCTTGCAGTGCGTATTTCGCGGATAACCGGTTATGAAGGACCTATAGTTGTTGTGAATATTGAGATAAGAGACTTTGTCTCTCTGTTGCAAGTGTCTTTTGATCTGAGGTGTGATCCAGGGCAAATCAGCTGGGTGAGATCTGACGGACTTCTCGGGGAAGAAGTGGTGGTGAGCTTCCGTGGTGGTGTTGGTATAATTTATCCATTTGTTTTCCACGTCATCCACACTAAGTTTAGTACTGCCCGAGGAGACGCACTGCAGAATCAGTAATCGGCCTGGTCTACAGGGTCTCTTGCATTTCTGAGTGGGAGTGGCGGCCAGAAACCAGAGCAATTGATAGGTGTGTGCTATACCCAATAGGAGGCATTGGTTGAGGTAGTTCGTACTGGTCCGCTAAGTCGGTTAAGATAAAGTATTTTGATCGTGTGTATGGAAGTTCACAACTTGTGATAGTGACAGCTGGTCCTGGATATCAGTGGTGCCAATTTCATTATAATCCCCACATAATACTAACTTGGCACATGGGTACCTAACTCTTAGGCGGTCTGATGTGGTTATGAGATGATTGATAAGAGTGTTCCCTGGTGGGTGAGCGAGGTGGATGGTATGACACAGACAGGATAGTAGCTTGGTGTGGCGCGGGTGGGCCCTGTGGCACAACACGCAACGATAATGCTTCCCACATCTGCTTGACTCTGAACATCCATGCGTGATGGGCGTAGGTCATTCGACAGAAGAGGGCACGTTCTCTGCGTCCATATGCGTGAACGTGAAGGTGTGATGAAAGAGTTGATATCCTCAATATGACACGTTTTAGGCAATAATTTGGCAAGCCTTACAAATGGCAACGACGTGCTAGCGGCGGCTGACCTGACTGTATGCCAGCTCAAACTTGTTAGCATGGAAAGTGACTTTGAGAGCAGTAGAGATGAGATCGCACCATATCCGCGGAACTTCAGTGTAATGGTACGTCTGTCAGGGTGGGTTTCTTGCTTCTAGTGGAGGTTAGCGGTTCTAATGGGCCTTTTTGCTTATGACATCCTGCCTGGCTAACCGCGCCGCGGTGGAATATGTTCATGACTGAGTCGCCATGTATAACACTGCCATCAGGATAACTGTTTCCACGCTTTTAGAAGGTACAGAGAGGTCGGGAGTAAGTGATTGGTGGCCATCTGTTGATATATGTTGTCAGGATGAATCAGTGTTTCTGTCCCTCGGTAGCCATAAACTCACTGGCGGCACTTTGAGGGCCCCCTGACACTGGTAGACATCTGTTAATATTTGTTAGCCGTAAACACCGTGTGTCCTTGTTCCCTGGCGCTTTGATCGCCGACACAGTATCTTAATGAGATATATGTAAACACCGTGGTGGTCTCCGTGTCACTGGCACTTGAAGGGTGACCGACAAAGTGCCCTCTGTCTGGTAAATACACTGCTGTGTTTTTGTGCTTTTCCTTGGGATGCACTATGGGAAATATGTTTGGTAATCAATCATTGCACTGATCACTTGAATGTTTTGCTGAATAATTCCCGGTGAAGTAAGGCTGGTAGGGCGTTGGGATATAGCAGGGCCAAACAGACTCGGCCTGGCTGCCAAGACCCTGAGCGTTTCAGGGCACGTCTTGTCTCGCTGATGGTTAACAAGTGTGTGTATGTTTGTGTTTCTCTGTCTGTCTGTATGTCTGTCTGTCTGTCTATCTGTCTGTCTGCCTGTCTGTCTGTCTGTATGTGACTGTCTATATGTGTCTGTCTATCTCTGTCTGCTGTCTCTCTTTTAATCACTGACATCAGAACAGGTAAATTATCACTTTAACCACTGACGTCACAACAGGTAAAATATAACTTCCACCATCATCACAACAAGTAAAATATCACTTTAATCACTGACGTCACAACAGGTAAAATATCACTTCAATCACTGACGTCACAACAGGTAAAATATCACTTTAATCACTGACGTCACAACAGGTAAAATACTACTTTAACCACTGACGTCACAACAGGTAAAATATCACTTTAATCACTGACGTCACAACAGGTAAAATATCACTTTAACCACTGACGTCACAACAGGTAAAATATCACTTCAAATACTGACGTCACAACAGGTAAAATATGACTTTAATCACTAACGTCACAACAGGTAAATAACTTTAATCACTGACGTCACAACAGGTAAAATCATTTAACCACGACGTCACAACAGGTAAAATATGACTTTAATCACTGACGTCACAACAGGTAAAATATCAACTCTATCACTGACGTCACAACAGGTAAAATATCACTTTAATCACTGACGTCACAACAGGTAAAATACAACCACTGACGTCGCAGCAGGTGAAATATCACTGTAACTACTGACGTCACAACAGGTAAAATATCACTGTAACCACTGACGTCACAACAGGTAAAAAAATATCCGCTGGCACGTCACAACAGGTAAAATATCATTGTAACTACTGACGTCACGACAGGTAAAATATCTCCTTAACCACTGACGTCACAACGGGTAAAATATCACCTTAACCACTGACGTCACAAAAGGTAAAATATCTTCACCAATGACGTCACAACAGGTAAAATCCACAACCTGACGTCGTGGCAGGTAAATTATCACTGTAACCACTGACGTCACAACAGGTAAAATATCACTGTAACCACTGACGTCACAACAGGTAAAATATCATTGTAACCACTGACGTTACAACAGGTAATAAGAAATGTTTCCACAAAGTCCCGCAAGCGGCTACCTACATTAATTAATTTTATCCAAATTCTGGATAAAATCTCTAATTAAGTAGACCAGTTAATTTTATCAATATTTTTATTGATACAAATATTATATATTTTTGGTAATATATATTATGGGTGACTTTGTTGATACAA